TCAGTAAATGAATTACATAGCATCTTTCTTTGATTGTTTCCCCTTGTATGACATGTAATTCACATCTTGTTATTTGTTTTTTATTATTGCTTATAAACTCAGCATTATTAATTATTAGTATTTTAAGTCTGTTTGGAGTAAACTTCTGCTCTTTGCAACCCTTGAAGATACCAGTAGATTAATTGAATATGACCTTCAGTCATCGTAAAAAGTCCAGTTTATGTTTCACATTTCTTTTCTAAAAAGTCAGCAAGTAAGTTATGGTGTTAAAACTGGCATTAGCCTGATAAAATACACATTTTGCCACCTTAAAAATAAGAAGATATTGCGCCACTGTCTTGTTTCTTATAGTGTCTCCAATACTTATAAGAGCTCTTGAGAAAATGTTTGCTGCAAAAGCACAGATATATTTACAAATATTAGCACATTTGCTAAAGAAATACCACATAGTCTTGCTTAGTGGCAAGACTTTTTTTAGAAAGCTGTTTTTAATAAAACTTTTAAAAATCTACTTCCATAAGTAATGTTATAAATATCGGTTTGATAGCTGCATTCTTAGCCCAGTGAATTTAATAAATATATTTTTCATGTAACCATTCTTATTAGTTAGGTGAAAGGAAATGTTAGAGTCTCACATCGCAGTGTATAATATATCTAATTTGTTAGATAGTTTACATAGGTAGGTAGACACTTGCTTAACAAAAGTTGTTTCCTGATTTCAAATTGTATTACAAAGCTGTAGTAATTAAAACAGTATGGTATTGGTATAAAAACAGATACATAAATCAATGAGACAGAATAGAGAGCCCCAAAGTAAACCCACACATATATGGTCAATTAATTTATAACAAAGGAGCCAAGAATATACAATGATAAAAGGACAATCTCTTCAATAAATGGTGTTGGGAAAACTGGATAGCCACATGCAAAAGAATAAAACTTGACCACTATTTTACACCATAACCAAAAATTAATTCAAAATGGATTAAAAGACTTGAAGTAAGACCTAAAATTATAAATCTCCTAGAAGAAAACATAGGTGGTAAGCTCCTTTGCATACGCCTTGGAGATGACTTTTTGAATCTGACACCAAAGCAAAAGCAATAAAAGCAAAAATAAATGAAACTACATCAAACTAAAAATCTTCTGCACAGCAAAGGAAACCATCGACAAAATGAAAGGACAACCTACTGCATGGGAGGAAATATTTGCAAATCATATCTGTTAAAGGGCTAATATTCAAAATACATAACTCACATAACAATAGCAAAAAGATCTCAAACAATCCAATTTTGAAAATGGGCAGAAGATCTGAATAGACATTTTTCCAAAAAAGACATACAGATGGCCAACAGGCACATGAAAAGATGCTCAACATCATTAATCATCAGGAAAATGTAAATCAAAGCTGCAATGAGATTTCACCTCAAACCTGTTAAAATGATTATTATTAAAAAGATAAGAAATAACAAGTGTTGGCATGTATGTGGAGAAAAGGGAACCCTTGTGCATGGTTGATGAGAATATAAACTAGTGTAGTCACCATAGAAAATGATATGGAGGTTCCTCAAAAAATTCAAAATAGAACTACTATGTGACCCAGCAGTTCCACTTTTGGATATTTATGCAAAGGAAACAAACAAACAAAAAAACTAACTCAAAAGGATATCTGTATCTCTATGTTACAGCATTATTTACAGTATCTAAGATATGGAAATAACCTAAGTGTTCATCAAGGGATCGATGGATAAAGAAATTTTAGTATATATACACAATGAAATATTATTCAGCCATTAAAAATCTTGCCATTTGTGACATGTATTGACCTTGAGGGCATTATGCTAAGTGAAATAAGTCAGAGATAGACAAATACTGTATGATCTTTCTTATATGTGGAATCTTTAAAAAAAAAAAAAAAATCGAACTCATAGATAGAGAACAGATTGGTAATTGCCAGGAGCAGGGGATAGTGGTGGGACTAATGGGTTAAGGGGGTCAAAAGGTAAAAGAAAATAAATAAAACCAGTAAATCACACATAAAGAAAAAGTTGAAGTTGACAGTAAACAGGGCCCTATATGTCTTGATTTGTTAACATGACATCTCCATTTCTGTAGCAACCTTCTCAGCCTTACAGGTATATTTTCAGAGTAGGACATTAGTACTAACTTTGCTGTTTTTCTTTCAGTTGTGGTATGTTTGATCTTCCGTAAAAAAATCATGCCACTGTCAGTGCGTCATTACACTATTCCAACCATTTTAATATATTCAAGAGGGTTTTTTTCTAATATTTGTCATTATTATTGCAGTGCAAACTGTTATGCTAGAGGTCCTATCCAGTGCAGTAAAGCAAGAAAAAGAAATAAAAGGTAATAATCTAAGTTAGAAGGAAAAATAAAAATGTCTTTATCTGTAGACAATATAATCATTGGTGTGAAAAATTTGATGGAATCTACAAAGAAGCCATTAGAGCTGGTAAGTTAAGCAAGGTTGCAGAAAACAAGATCAGTATACAAAAATTAATTGTATTTCTACATGTTAGCAACAAACAGAAACAAATTAAAATAAAACAATACTATTTGTAGTGGTATCAACACATATGAAATACTTAGAGATAAATCTAACAGTTGCAAGACCTATATACTGAAAATTATAAGACTGTTGAGAGAAAATAATGGAGGCTTAAGCAAATGGAGAATTATATACCATGTTTATGGGTTAGAAAAACTCAATATTGTTAATACTTCTATTATCTCCAAAATGATCGGTTAATTCAGTGCAATTCAGAAGAAAATCTCAGCAGGCCATTTTGTAGAAATTGATAAACTGATTCTAAAATTCATATCAAATTACAAAGAACCTAAAATAGTTAGAGCAACTTTGAAAAAGAACAAAGCTGGAGAACTAATATTACCTGATCTTAAGATTTATTATAGAGCTATAATAGTCAAGAAAATGTCAAATTAGTATCAAGATAGACATGTAGATTAGAGTGGAATAGAGAATACAGAAATAGACCCACACATAAATGGACAACTGATTTTTGACAAAAGTAAGAAGGCAGTTCATTGGAAAAAAGATACTCTTTTCTAATTTTTGGAACAATTAAATATCTATATGTAAAAAATAAAAGAACTTCATACCTTGCATCATACCTAAAAATTAACTCCAAACGAATAATAGATCTAAATGTAAAACCTAATGACATAAAATTTCTAGAAGAAAACACAGGTGAAAAATCTTCGTGGCCTGAGGTAGGCAAAGATTTCTTGGATATGTCACTAAAATCAAGATCTGTAAAGGAATCATTTGTACTTCATCAAAATTAAATACTTCTGTTTTTCAATAGACATTGTTAAAAGAATGAAAAGACAAGCCACAGATTAGGAAAAAAGCATTTGCAAATGACTTTTATATAGAATATATAAAGAACTCTCAAAACTCTATAATTAAGAAAACAACCAATAGCAGTGTACAAAACATTTCAACAGACACTTCACCAAAGAAAATATACAGATGGAAGAAAAGCACACCAAAAAAAATCCTCAAATCATTTGTCATCAGAGAAATAAAAATTAAAGGCACAATGAAATACTACACACCTATTAGAATGGTTAAAATTTTTAAAATATTGACAATGCCAAGTATTTCAAAGGATGTGGAGAAACTGGAACTGGTTAGATTGTAAAATGATATAACCACTTTGGAAAACAGTTTGGTAGTTTCTTAAAAAGTTAAACATTTTTATGCCATGTGATCCAGCTATTCCATACCTAGGTATTTCTCTGAGAAGAATGAAGGCATGTGTATAATTGTTCATACCAGTTTTATTTCTAAGACCCAAAAAACTGGAAAAATCCCAAATATCCATCAGCAGGTGAGTACATAAATGATATATGTACACAGTGGAATATTACTTACCAATTAGAAAGGAATGAACTATTGATATCCACAGTAACATGGATGAATCATGCGAAAATTCTCAAGGAAAAAAAAATCCAGGTTTTAAAAAAATGAATGTTCATTTATATGAAATTCTATATACAGCAAACTAATCTAGAGTGACAAAGATGAGGTTGTTTAGTGGGTGACGAGGAAGAACAAGAAAGAGGGATGACAAAGGGACAGAAAAACTTTTTGGGGTGATATGTTCACTACCTTAATTGTGGCAATGATTTCATGTGTATGTTAAAAGTTAACAAGTTGCATACTTTAAATATGTGTAGTTTATTGGACATCACTTATACCTTAATAAAGCCCCCCCGCCCTTGGCTCTGCTGTTAGAAAGCCCAGCTGAAAGGTAGATAATAATAAGACCTAATTCTTAGGATTGTTGTAAGGACCATGGGTTTTAATATATATTCAGAGATTAGACCAAGGCCTGACTCAGAGCATTGTTCAACATTTGGTGTGACTGTATTTTGTCTTCTACTTGATCATAAACTCTTGGTAAGCAAGGCACCATGTCTCTGCCATCAGTTTGCCTAGATTGAAACCAGCATGGGTATTTATATGTATAATCTTCAACTTCATGAACAGTACAAAAAATGTTTTGACAGTTTTTAAATTGACAAGTAACAGAATTAGCATCCTTCAAACGTACAACATGGATAAAGATTGAAAAAAGAATTGAAGGATTTGGCATACACTGCTCTGGATTAATTTGTGAATTATAGTATATATATGTTCAGAATTATATGGGGAATATTTAAAATGTTATATTGTCTTAAAGATGTATCTTTATTTATACACAGATACACACACAAATATTCATATTTCCTAAAAATTGTTTCCATGAGCACTGTAATGTAGCTATCACTCTTGTTTCTTTGACTTATTTTAGAATGCAGTTAAGTCCTTGGGAAAATCACTTATGTCATCAGTAAGGAATGCCACCAAAATAGCTTCTCACTTAAGTTCCCATCCCTAGAGCTAACCCACAGGAGGTTCCGATAAATTCAAATATTTAATAACTTGTATTTTTCTTTCTCTTTAAACACAGGCCCTCTGGTCCTGGAGGCAGGATCATGTGGTGGATTCTTGGCAGTCAGCAGTCTGTGGAGCTTTTGCAGGTGCAAAGGATTATATTATACTGGGAAAGACCAAAGAGAGAGAGAAAAATGTGAAAATATTAACTATGCAAAAACAACATTCTTTAGAAATTCCAGGTTGTTTAAATGAAGAGAGTTCCACCAGTAGTTTGGGGAAAAAAAAGTGTTTTAGAAAAAAAAAAAATGCTAAAAAGGTGTCCGCTTGAAAGACAACCAATTTGTTTTTGACAAATTTTTCTTTTTCTTTTTAAGTGTATTGAAACCTTCACTCAGGCCCTTGGATTATCTTAAAGATGATTTATAAAGTCTTCTGTGGGAAGAGACTTGCTGTGGGTGCTGGGCTAACTGTGCAGCTGTCTGCCTTGAGCAGTGCTTTGGGGGTTTAAGCGATTTCTACAGAAGGCAATGATTCACGGTTCGTGTGACATGTTTGACAGCACCATAGATTAACTAGTGTCAGGAGAACAGAGGCTGCTCCACAACTTACTGAAGGCTAAACTGCTCTGTTTAGAAAATGTGGAGATCTAAACATCTGGGCATTTTCTAGACATTAAACTGAGAGCAATGTGACAATGTGCAATATTGTGTTATCCATCACTAAGTCATACGAATTTTCCAGTGAGGTTTTAATGAGAACTCAGATGCTTTAGGGAATTTCTTAAGTAATAGGTTTAACAGCCTAAAAAATACATTTTGTTGTTGCAAATAAAGGAAAATTAGAATTACAGTTGATATAAATCAAAGTGGAGATTTGCCAGAAAGTTATGAACTTCTAGTTTAGATGTGAAGCGTTAATTGATAGATATGTAGGTTTAGATGTCACCTTTATTAGAAAAGAATTATTTTCCAATTTGTTTCATAGTTGTTAGGTTGGGTGTTTTGTTGTAGTGATTAGGAAAACAGAAAACATACATTTCATAGGATTCTTTATTAATAGTTGGACTCATTTGACTTATAGAATTGATAATCAAAAATAAGAATCTTCCCTCTAGACACGAAGCCAGTTCAAATTGATTATGACAGGTAATTGTTTCCACATGACACAGTTATTAGCTCTGTTGAATGAGTAGGTGGTCTTGATATATTTTTTAGAGGTCAGGCATCTTTATACCCCAGTCTCTAAATGAAATGTGAATTTTTGTTGACTCCCTCCTGAGCCCTGGGGACAAAGTGAGCATTATGGAAATCTGTTCTTCCTGGATAAGGAAAGGCCACGTTTTAGAGTTAACAATGCCATAAAACTTCCATGTGTTGAAATAAGTGTATATTCTGTGGTCCCATTCTTTAAGTTGGTAATGCCAAGATTTGCTTACAAATGTATTGTTTCTGTTAAGGAAATTTGCATTCATTTCAGTTCCTTTTTCTGAATAATGCTTTGTAATAGGCGCTAAGCGCTTAGATTAGTTGGGGGTGGGGGGTAAGAAAGAAACATTTATCAGACATCCACTGGATGGTGGGATCCTGTGGGCCAGGCCTTTTCAGTAAGGTGGCTCACCCGAAGAGCACAGAGCGCAGCACACAGCACTCTGCTCCAGCAGCAGGGAAGCCGGGATGTGAGTAAGGGAGGCTTTGCCCAGAGCTGCAGTACACATGTAGTGGAGGCCAGACTTGCAACATTGTCAAGTCTCGGTTCTGTCTCCAGCTAAGAAATGAGACTTCAAGCCCCTCTTGGTTACCTGTACATAGAAGGAACCCTCCCTGCCTTAAGGAATTATAGTACTTCAGGGATAGGTGAGGTAATGTATGTATGAGTACTTGAAATTGATAAACCTAAACATATGTAAGGAATTATTACTATTTCAGTAAAACAGCCAACACCCAGGAAATGAATAGCTTTATCATCACAATAATACCAACTGTGTCGAAAGAATAATATTAATAAAGTTACTGTACACAATCATTTTCTCTAATACTATCATCTTATTTTTTCAGCCGAAGTTCTGATAAGTGAAGGCGTTTGTCCAAATTCTGCAAAACTCCATTGTCAGTAGATCCACATATATTTAGCAAAAGATAAAATACATTTCTTGTTTATATCCCTTTTGTTTTGAAATTTTAGTTGGTATAAATGTTGATCCTGAGGAATTAAGTTACTACTTTAAAACTTTTCTGAAAGATAAACATCATTTGAAAATATTCCAGATTGTGAAAAGGTGATATTCTGTAAGAGTTTGTTGCAACATTGTGCAGTACACACTATGGGGAAATGAGTAGTGACTTGCCACGCTGGGCAGCTCCTTTAGGACCTGATATGCTTACCTGCGGCCCTTTTGTACTCTTTAGCCTTGCATGGCCATAAAGGCAGTGATGAAACTTGCCCTCAAATCAGAAACCAGATTTCTCATTCCTCTTTGCTTTTCCAGTTTTTAAACAGGTTAAATCATTGTTGGTGAACCATTCTCTGTGCCATCCTTGGCACTCTTCTGTGTTCATGCTTGTTTTATAAACTACTTGGCATAGATATCCAAAAATGGCCCTTGAGATTGGAGGTGTTGATGGCTTGTCATGCTCAGAAATTCCCTTGGCTTCTGGTCAGGAGTTAAACTAGGAAAAAAAAGGACTTTGCCAACTTCCTCACTTCCAGTTAACTTCTAAACATAAAACCATAATTCAGTCTAAGTAATTATGACATTCACTAATAGAGTGACAATTACTATTCTAGCATTCTTTGATCAGTTTCTTGTAATTAATATACCTTTTTATTTACATTCTCTGAAAGAGGAGAGTGACAGATGTTTGATTGTTAGGTAGATAGGTCCATCGATAGATCTTCCCTTGCCGTTAAATTCTAGAATAGGATGAAGGATTATCTGGGTACAAATGAGGAGGCCTAACACAAATTTTAAAACACACACACACACACACACACACACGTGTTGTCATTGAAGCCCTACCCATGCAGATCATGCCAAAGAGGTACATGAAGATGCTCTCTTCTCGCTCCCAGGCTAATCAGGGAAGGGAAGACCCTTGAGAGACAATGATTGGCAGTGCTGTCCACTGCCGCCCCCAGCGCTTTCGCATTCACATTCGCAGCTGCTGCCTGGAAGTGACAGCTCCAAGCCTATTATAGGAAGGCGGCCCCTTTGGAGAGTGTAAAGAATAAGCATTTGTATCCTAAGGGCATGTATGAACTACATCTAGTTTTCCCTGAATCTGGTCCTTGAAAGCAGTTAGCCTAGCATTCAGTAAAAGCCTAACTGCAGTGGAGCCCATAGAAAATTGTCATGTGTGTTGTGAGCACTAAAGCCGCCTACAGATGCTGTACCAAATAATTGTTTCCTGTCTAATATGTTAGCATGTTCCCTGTATTTATTACCAGCAGTTTACAGTTCCCTTAAGTAAAATATAGAAAGGAATGACATCTTAACTGAAAGTACAAGTCCCCTGCCCCTCCCCATTATGACCAGTTGTTCTATTACATGATCTTCACAAGTCCTTCTTGCAGCCTCATAAAAAATATTGTGAGGTCTGTGAATTAAAGCAATCTTTGATATTTGAAGACAGTCAAATTGATTTATTAGTAATTTCCATAAAATACAGTTTCCATCATGGTAGTAAAATTAGGACCTATTTAAGTATATGGGTTTTTGTCTTTAACATTTTTTCATATTACTTTGATGAAACAAATCTCTAAGAGAATATTGGCAGGCGTCCACAGTAAAGGAATGGGGAACTTTTGCTAATGGCCAAAATAAGTTTGATTTGCAGTATCCAAATTTATTAGAAGGCAAATACTTTTCAACATAGGTGACTCTAGACATAAAAGCTTGAGTGGTCAGACAGATGTCTTTGCCAAGTTTTAAGTCTTTTTAGTTGGTCTAGGACGGTTTGTGAACACTTTCAAATAGGAAAAATGGTGTATGCACCTCTGCGTTTTAACTATCAAACAAATTTTAATGTCTTATTATATATCAAAGTCATTATGTAATAAAAGGGCACTACTTTTGGAGCTAAGATACACATGATTTTGAGGCCCTGCTCCATACTGCCTGTTTGTCCCTGGGCAAGTTGTCTGTAAAATGCAATAATAATACCTATGCAAATGAGATAACATAATCAATGAAAGTACCAAGTACAGTTTCAGTGTTCCAGATAGAACGTAAGCGCAGATATTAGCTTTGATCTTCCCCCTCCTCCCTTTAAGAGGACCAGTTGAAATCTTCAGTTTGTAAGAACTACAGACACTTGTCCAGGGCACCCAGTAAGCATTTTTGAGTACCTACTATGTATGCTGAGCTAGAGACATGAAGAAAAATCACATATTATCTCTGCCCACCCAGAAGAGCTAATTACTTTGAGCACTAGTTAGAGCCGGGCACTATTCTAGACACTTTGCACAGACTCATTTTCCTGTGTCATATTGCTATCCACATCTTATAGATGAAAAATGGGCTGCTAGAAGACCCAGTAGCCAAGAGCTTGGGTTCTGGAGTCAGAGAGAAAACTTCAAGTCTCAGTGCTACTAAGTAAAACTTCCTATCAGTTATTTACCATCTCTTAGCTTCAGTTTCTACACTGGTAGCATGGGGTAACAAAATACCTGTCTCATAAAGTTCTTTACTGAGAGAATAAGTAAGTTACCTAAGGCCAGCCACCTAGTAGAGCAGGGGGTTAAGACTCGGTCCCTCTGACTCTGAAGAAGTATTTTCTTTTAGGCCAGACCAGTAATGGAAAAAAAAACGAATATAAGATTTGTGTTTGGAGATGGTACAACTCATTGCCTTTCTTTCCTTTAACTTTTTTCTTCCTTTCTTCAGATATTTTTTTATGGACGTGAAGCCTTCCTGGACCCTTTTTGATAATTAAAAATATATTTACTCCTTTAGTGCAGAATATGTGGTTTAAAAAAATTAAAAGCAGGATTTCAGGACTGGATCCACAAAATTTTTAAATACTTGGCAGTTTAGCAAGTCTGAATTTCAGGCAACTTTTGAATCTGGAGGAAAATGTTTCACATATTCATAACACAAAAGTGGCTAAAAGGAAAGAGACTAATATTCATATTAATCGATACTCTTTAGCCCTAAGGTGTGTCATTTGTGGGTAACCAAAAATGGAACAAGGAAGCATAAATGGGTACATCTTTCAAAAAGTCAGTGTCATAATGTTACCAAATGGAGGTTCAGTGTGATGATCTTATTTCAGCAACATATTTAGAAAGATATTTGGCATAGATCAAATGACCTTGTCCACATGCCACAAAACTTGGAGGGAGAGTAGTGCTATTTCTGGAGCATCCTTCACATACATGTGTTCTCTTCAGCCCTCTTACAAAACTTCCTATTTCACCTTAGCTCACGGACGCTGAATCTTTAGAGAGCCCTTTTAGGTTTATTGTTTCTACCTCCTTAGGGGCTCTTGAAGCTTAAAATGTATCTTTTTACCATATTAAATTAAATATTGGCACCATATACAGTGGTTTCTATTTAAAAAAAAAAATTGCCAATTCCCTGCCCATAGATATGGACCCCTTTAAAATGTGTGGATTAAAAAAAGTCAGTTTGGCAGTCACAGTATTCCATGAAAGATAAGGTAGGAAGGAAGCCCTACCGAAGAATGACTGTTAAATCAAGACTGACTCTCACAGGATGCAGAAGGGAGCTTAGAAATGGTACTGTAACTGGCCTGTTGTCAGAAGCCTAGAAATATAGAAAGCTTTACTCTTAACGTTTTTAACTGGAAGAATCCAGAAATGATACACGTTTCTGTTTGCCCACTTTGCCTCAGAAGCAGAAACGATGGAAGCATTTTGGAGTCAGATTAAGGAACAGTGGTCCATAGAAGGCAGGGACCCCCTGAGCATCATAGGGAGCAGCGAGCCTTTTACTGAGAGTAGATGTCTGCCCACAGACACATAACCATGTACACACACAGGTCTGTTTGCTGCTTCACAAAAGAGAAAGATATGTTGTGGGGCTTGTTTTTAACTTGAGTAGGTAAAGCATCATCTCAGTACCTCTCTAACATAGTTCGATATCACTACAAAAGCAATGGAGCATGTGGGTAAAGATTTTGCATGTGTGCATCCTATTCTTGAACCATTTAAGTGGCTGTAATGATGAAGTGATTTTGGCAGAATTATGAGGAATTATAAAATAAACATTATAAAATACCATGTAATACCGTAAACAGTAGCTTACTTGTGTGTCGGGTATTTCTTATATGCACAGGTGGGTTTGCAGCTGCAGTCACCACGCCTCTGGATGTGGCAAAAACAAGAATCATGTTAGCAAAGGTAAGTGACAAAATAACGTAATATAGACACAACAGATGCTTCTATCTATCAGCACGAAGGCTTATATGTATATAAAATGAATAAAAGTGGAAAACGCCTCCCTGTAATAGCAGCCTTATGCTGCCTGTTGAACCACTAATGAAACTGACATTGACAAAACAATATCCATAGTCATTGCTGAGACAAATGTCTATATAGCATTTTACCTTCTCATCATCATTTTAAACTACATTATGTAAGCAACCAGGGCTGGTAGTGCCTCTGCCTATTAAGACTACATTGGCTCAGAGAGTTGACATGCTTCACACCATGTCAAGTGTGAAGCAAGCAAGTAAGCTAGAGTCTCAGAACTTAGGTCATGCTTGATTGTAACTAGGTGAATTAGGACAGTTGTCAGAATTAAAACTTCTTTGTTTAAAAGAAAAAAATGTTTTTTTAAAAAGCTGGACTGAGACTTCAGGGAATGCCATACAAGTAACAGATTTGGACCGAAACAAAAAAATTAAAAAGTCATGCCCTTGTGGAAAAGTGGAACAAATAGGGCAGAATTATAGTATGTAGGTTGACAAGGCCAAACCTAAGAATGTCAACCATGTTTTAAATTGAACATAGTAAAAAGGTGAAGGGATTAACAAGTACAGATTGGTAGTTGCAGAATAGTCATGGAGATGTGAAGTATAGCACAGGGAATAAAGTCACTAGTATTGTAATAACTGTGGTGTCAGATGGGTTCTAGACTTATTGGGTGATCACTTCATTTTATATATGTCTCATCACTGTTGTACCCCTGAAAATAATACAATATTGTATGTCAACTGTAATCGAAAAAAAAATTAAAAATAAATTAAACATAGTACTCTTTATTAAATGTAGTTATTAGCTACTTAGGTAAGTTGCATAATTGTACCATTTATATTGATCATCTCTCATTATTCTCAGGTCAGTTAATATTGTTTTCAGTCTTTTTCCTGTTCAATAGCTGTACGTGAATTATTTGGGTGAGCTCTGCTCATAGTTTGGTAATGAAGCACCTAGAAAAGCAGCTTTCTGTGGGCATGGGCCAAATCATTGTTGCCTGTGGGTTTGAATGTAAGGGCTTCTGGTTAGCGAGATCTAGGGGTCCTGATTTCCCAGAAACTCCCCAGTCTATTTGGAACTGGGTCCTAGATGAGGCTGTTAGGGAACCATGCCTCTGAGGATATCTGAGAGCCAGCTGTACATTAGGGAGTTTCATAAGATAATGGCTTTCTCTTTTGTCTTTTCACGCAGGCTGGTTCCAGCACTGCTAGTGGGAATGTACTCTCTGCCCTGCATGGGGTCTGGCGGACACAGGGGCTGTCAGGGTAAGGACAAGAAGTCATGCTCAGTTGTCTTCCACTCTCCACTGGCTCTTCCTCCTTTAGCCTAACATTAAACAGATGCTTTTCCTTTCTTCTGCTTATTTCCTGGTTGGGGTCTCTTTATTTATATTGTACGAAACATTATATTTGATATATTTGGTTATGTGAGATGTTATTGTGCAGTGAAGATGATGCAAATATGCTAGCCAGCCTTGTCCATCTCGATGTTAAATGACATCCACATATGTGGCTCCTGCTAGCTTCTGTGCTACAGCGTTGAGAAGATAGGCTTCCAGTTATGTAATGCAGGAACACAGGTGAGTGAGGAGAACATTGTCGGAAAAAAGGATTTGTGGTTTGGGATACTTTTAACTATTATTAGCAACAAATCGCTTTCAACATACCATAGTTCATGACACCTTACTTGAAACCCACTGTTCTATATTATCAGCTTAGTGCCTCAAACTTCTAGCATCATATCTTAAAAAGCTCTCTTCAAAATGTTATTTCAATATTGCTTTTACGACATAAACTTGGAAAACTGGCTGAATGTTAGGATCTGAGCAGGTGTGTAAAATTACAGTTTTCTCTTTGGAATCATCCACTAGGGATTTTCCTGAGCGCGCAAAGCAGCACCCCTTTGGGAGGGTGTCGGGAGTGTGCCTAGTGACGGGGTTTGGCTGGTGTGAACAGCAAAGCTGCGGTGGTGTCACCTCATCTTGGTGCTGTGTTTATCATTTAGTTTATGGTAGTTTCGTATACATGTGGCAGGTTTTTATTTCAACTAGTTGATAGGAACCATGAAGCATGTTGGTCAGGCTCTAGGTAAGGTTTTTGCAGGAGAATAGCCCCATCTTCTATTCAAAATTTCCAACTGGAAGTTTGAAAAGTAGGTAGTGTTGGATGGTTGTGTTGAGTGTGACAACTCTGATGGAATGACTCTGGTTGTCTGAAGGACTTAAGATGTTAAGATAAGAATTGGGTTTAACGGAAAGGAATAATTGAGCCCGGGAAGGGCAGAGGGCAGCTTCCATGCCATAGTCAGCCATTTATGGCTAATATGTTGGGAAGAAGTAAAAATCTGGTTGCTCATAGCAGAGACACATTGGACACCAGTTCCACATTGAACAAAGAAATGGTATGAGAAGAAAATGAGGGCTATTTAGTAGCAGGTAAAAGATTCTTAGTGTTTCAGATAGTTTTGGGCCACACAGAGTTGTTGCTTGCATACAGTAGCTTTTTTAGATCATAAAGTCAAATTGCTGAATTTCACTCTAATTCATTTCAATATATTTCATATTAGATCCTGTGGCAACTTTTGGTCAAACCTCTGCTCTTGACCTTAGCTCTGTGGATTTGATGTTGACCTGCAGCCCACCTGCCTTTCTTGAGAAGGTGGTGATTATGTGGGTGATGTGCAGCATAACTGGCAAAACCATGGCCACTGAAAGTTTGTAGAGAAGGAATTTCGTTGAGTAGATGATTGAAACTAAATCTTCCTTGTCCCAGTTATGATGTGTACTTGATGTCATGTAACTAGGAAGTGCCAGAATTTTAGGCTGAGGACAGGTGTCAGAGACATGCCAAGGGCCTGTATCTGTCCCATCAGCTCTGAAAAAGTAATTTGGAGTTTTGCTTATCTTCTGGAAGCTTCTTAAGTCTTGGGCGCTCATACCTCGGGGATATTGCAGGTTCAGTTCCAGACCACTGCAATAAAGTGAGTATCACAATAAAAGGAGTTAAAATCTTTTTGCTGGAAGAGGGTCTTGCCTTCAATTTGTAAAAAAAAAAAAAAAAATGCAACATCTGTGAAGTGCAATAAAGCACTAATTACCTGTTACAGTTAAACGAGGTGTGCCTGTATGCGGTGTGGTCCTTTAGCAGCGTATTACAGGCAGCCAAGCTTGTCACTCAAGAAGTGACAGTTAACTTTCTATTAATGTCATAAAAGACAACAAATAGTTGGTCAAAAGAATTATAACCAAAAGCAAGCAAAACAGAAAACCCCTAGAAATGTGTGCAGCTGTTCTGAGGGTTGATCCTAGACGTCCTCATACCTGAGGTGTCTCATCTGCTTCCTGTCTGGTTTACACACACACACCCCTGAACACACCTGCTGACTTTACTGCTGCTCAGGTTGCCCAGCATATACTCTCCACCTTGCAGTGAAATGGCGCTGACCTCTCAGGGTAAATCAAAGTGGTGACACTTTGGTCTCTTCCGTGTTGGTTCACACAGGGGAATACCATGTTCTGGCACATATTCGGAATGTGTGCTCTAGGGCAAACTGTTTTCTCCAAAATAAAAATACCACGTGTTCATTCAGTCCAGTAGCCAGAAAGCAGATGGAAAACCTGCTTATCCTGCATTGCCCCTTCCTACTTTTCTTCTGTTAATCAACTGGCTTTTTTTCTTGACTGTGCCCTTTACGAAATAACATACTACTGCCATGTGCACCTTCCTTGTGCCCAGCTGTGTTAAATGCTTTACATTTGTTATCTCATTCAGTCTACGGTCACTAGAACACAGCCCTGCTCTACTCGAAGCCTTTGCCTTCGAGTTTGGTTGGGGTGCTCACTGTACAAATTGCTCTACTTTAAGGCTATAATTATGTTAATAGATTCAACTGTCATCTAGTGAAACCATAAACTGCTTCCATCTGCCTCTAGCCAGGAGCAGCTGAGCTCATTAACAGAAGCCGAACCAAGACGCTAGCTTTTTGAACTGAGATAGTAAAGGAGTAAGCATTTCGTGGCAAATGTGGTCTTGCACAGCTCAGCCTCTGCTGGCTTCCCTTCCAGCACCCTTTCCTTTGTAGGGAAGGGACAGGGAGATGAATCTGTCTTTTAGGAAGGACACAGTGGACTTAAAGTGGTAATTTATGAGTTTCTGTCCTCACCAAGCACTTCATACAAAAAACAATTCGCATGATGCAGAGCTGAACAACTTTTTTCCTTACAGGTGTATTTTGGTTTTCTATAAAATTTTCACGGTTATTTCTAGACAAGAAAAAGAGGTTTTCATTTTATCTGAAGGATTTTACTTAATTTTAATTTTTAGCTAGCTAATTAAAATAAAGACCCCCCTAAAACTACTCTAAAATCCATTTTTCTCAGAAGTGCTGAGTGCTGCATACAAAGGGGAGGTGAGTTGACCTCTTCCCCACAGTTGTGCAGAAAGGAAGCAGCCAGAGCGGCTGTGAACCAGGCTCAGGGCTTTCCTTCCTGTCCTGTTTCTTGGCGAGCCACCATTTAGCTTATCATGGAGGTTTTCCCCATATCTTAAAAGATATAAAACCACTGTTGGCATAACCTGACCATTTTCAGTTTTCTTTCCTAGACCTGATCTCCTCACTATTAAGTTTTTTCCCTTGTAAATCCACCAGTTCTGATTTTGTAATTTTGTTTTTCTCCTCACAAAAGTAATACACTTTGAAAAAAAAATGTTCAGTTATTACAGAAATACAGACAGGGAATATTTCCTTTAATCGTACCCTCCAGAGAAAGTGTAACACATACCCCTGCCACATTGGTCAAACATACAATCATATTATACATACAGCTTTTGGGACTTGATTTTTTTTTAGAACCTGCTGTGTTTATTTTCTGTTGGTACCTATGGCCTCCCTCATTCTTAGCAGCTGCATAGTCTGTCCTGTGTGGATACTGTACCAGAATTTATGTAACCAGAAGGGGTTCTTTGTAGTTTTTTTTTTTTTTTTTTAATCAGCAATGCCATGATGAACTTCTTTGAACAAATATCTGTGCATAGCTATGAGAGGGTTTTTAAAGAATGAATCTCCAGTTTACATCCCCAGTAACGTGTTCTTTTACTTTGTCTCCTCAATTATTCCAAAGTTGCAACTTTGACAGTGGCTGGTCTTCTGTAGTGCTTGGGGACATAACCTGCAAAGAGATTGTGCTCCTTTCCCAGCCACAGTTCATTCAACTTTCTTGTCCTTCATCAGAGAGAAAGAAAACAAGGAATCCATGGAGATTCATCTCCCTGTTGTGGCATCATGTTTGTGGGTCTCTAAGGACAAAATGCGACCGAGTGACTGGGAGGAGCAGCAGTTATCCAAAAATCTCCTCTACACCCTGAGATCACTTTAGGTTTCCAGGGTAGGCTGGGCCTTTCAGCCTTCCTTAGGATTCAGCCCTTTGACTCCTTTATAAAAAAAAGTCAATTTCATCATCTCTGAAAGACAAAAACGGTCTGGAAGTTTCAAACAGGACCATGGTGGGGCAGAGATATTATTTCTTGACTAATTACTTGACTTAATTGTGAGTGCTCACAAGTAAGCTGTTTGGTATGTAGCCACTTTAGCCAACAAACAGCTGGGTTCAGACTTCAACACGTCTGCTTGGGAATGTGCTTTGGTGCCATTCTAAAAGGAAAAAAAGATTTTTAAGTGCTTTGTGGAGTTTAATGAGCATGATGTGTTGAGTTGAGCAAGTTCTGGGTGCTGGAATTTAACCTTTTTTTACGCACAATTTTTAAAAATCTCTCCTTTTGCTTTCCCCCCACCTAGATTATTTGCAGGTGTCTTTCCTCGAATGGCAGCAATCAGTCTGGGAGGTTTCATCTTTCTTGGTGCTTATGACCAAACTCGCAGCTTGCTGTTAGAACTTGGCAAAGAGAGCCCATGAATCACAGACGGCCCCGCATCCACTTCTTTCAAGAAGGAAGACTGCTGTGAGAACTGTCTCCCTTCCGGGGAGCAGCTGTTCAGCCATCTGAACAACAAAACACAGAGCTAAAATCCAATTCTGCTAAGATTACGACATGGAGAATGTGTCTTCCATGCTACAGGCTAGCTGGAATGATGTTGTTAGCCTGTTTGCCAAAAAGTAAGAGAAAATGATGTCCACAGCGGTACTCTGAATAAATAAGTTTGGTAATGCTGAGTCCAGGCCCTTCAGAGCTTTCATTTGATCTATATCTGATCTTTTATTTCCTGCCACCTGCCAGCAAGCTCGGCGGAAGGCAGAGATGGTTAGAATTTTAAAAGAACGGCTAGACTGGAAAAAGGAAGGAGACTTGAGGAAAAAGTTGCATGTGTGGGTGGGTTTCTCCACTGGGTTAATTACTGTTGTGTAAGCTTACAGTTTTGTTTAGAAAGAATGAGCTACAGGTGCCCAAAGAAAGTTCTTGCTGGGTAACCAGGCTGTTCTTAATTAGCCTCAGATTTAACCTATAAAAACACACAACTGTATTATTTTACAGAGAAGTGTCCAGCAGCCCATGTGGTGTGTGAAAGAAAGCAGCTGCAGCTCGAGTGACTAGGTGTGTCCTCTGAGGAAGCTGAGCCACACTCTCCTCTTCTCCATATCAGACCGAAAGGAAGGGCTGGGGCCGGTTCTGCAAACAGTGCTGTTTCTTGGTCTCTAATCAGTAAGCTCTGTTGCCTGGAGTTCTAAGCTCAACACTGGAAACAGAAGGGATGAAAAGGGAAGGTCACCATTTTAGAGCTTGACTAATGAGCTCCAGGTGTTACAAAAATTCAGAATCTCAAGAATCTGGTGGTGTCGTGCCTTCCCTGGAGCCATAGTATATGATTCTGCTTCGCCTAAATTTTTTTCCTTTTTGAGACAAAAAGGTAATTAAAGGCAGAATGACTGCATCTGTGAGGGGATCTCTGGAATTCAGTGGGATGAAACAATGGTGGTTAATGTAGGTAGAATGACTTGAGCCACACGGTTAACATTTATAAATGAACCTTTATTAAAGACACTTCAATGCCATTTGTTAGACACTTCAATATTTTACATGTTTTTCAATGTACATTGTACCAAAATTTCTATAAATAAATAACTTTGTACATAAAAGTAATACTTCCTCTTTCACATTGCCTCTCAGAAGCAGCAAATTCACATATGTTGTGGAAGTAACAATCAGTTAACTGTTGAGAACAAAATTCTATATGTGCTTACCTTTTGGAACAGTGATGACATTAGACAGTAAAATTTAACATAGGTAACCATTTTGTCAATACCTACCTTCAGCTTTTTGGCTAAAGGACTTTGCTTTCTGAGCTTTTAAGGACCTTGTTAGTTTCAATGTAATTTTTCCTGAACTATACATTGGCACTCACAAGATGGTTAGCTACAGGTCTCAAAAGTGCAAATATACCCAGGACCCAGGTCAAGGGCGACATCTTACACAGTCCAAGCCTAGGTCTGCCTGTGCGAGGGAAGGACATGGACAGGCCTGCTCCGGATCCTCAGTAGAGATAAGCTAGCCCTGAAAAGTAAGGACTCGATCCTTTTTCTCCCCTAAGACCAATGTAATATTAATTATATTGGCAGAACTAAAACATCACTATTGAAAAATCCACAGGTACCAACAGCAGCAGCCTCTATCTATCTTATTAAAAAGCCTCAAATGACAATCGAATGATACTGACCATATTTGCTTTTATCACAGAAGGAAGAAAGGCAGTGCTTAATTGTTCAGACCAAATGCTTGTGGTGGATTAATAACCCCCGTCATGCTTGTTAAAGAACTCAAACCTACGATAAAAAGTCATTGACTGCAGAAGTATATGACACGCGCACCTCTGGGCTCCACAGGGAGGCCTGCTGCATGGCACCCACACGTGAGCAATACTGGCATGAAGTTACTTCCTATGCAAAGTCTCTGCCCGTAAAGCACCCCAGGGGTCCTCTCCTACGGAGTGCAGTACAAGCCCGAGGACTCCATCCTTCCCTCCCACCAAAACTCCTGGGAACAATGTGGTTTTTAGCGTCTAAATTCCATCCATGCATTAAGGCACCAGAACTATCCCCCCCCAATTCCAAAAACAGCAACCTGATATGAAAAATAATATTGTCAAAATTGTACATTTTTTTCTGTTCACCATGCACTAAAGATTAAAATATCCTCTGTAAAAGATATATAATATATATGAAATCTCTGAAAACTCTTATGTACAATGGTATCAAATACTTTTCTGCCTTTTGTACACTATAGCCTCTCGCATTTCTGTGCTTCAGCTGCAAGTCTTTTACACTACTGATACTCCACATGGAAGTTAAAACTGTACAAATCAGTGACGCTTGAACCCAAGCTTCCTCACAGCCTCTCCTACCTCTTTCCTGTAGAGATCGACACAAGAGCTGAGGTAGACAAAGCCTAGATTTTCGGTGCAAACAGCAATGGCACACTCCGTTTCCCGGGGAACTGTCCTGTCAATGGTGTGGACTCAGGACTGGAGTCACATGCTTTGGGGAGGTGTCCATTAGAAAGAAGCAAGTGCTGGCCCTCGGTCGGGACGTCTGGGAAGCCCGAGGTGGCTTGTGTGAGCTCGAGCTTGCCTGGAGTTAACGTAGAAGGCAGGAGGGCTATGGAGTCCGGCTCACACAACCTTGCTAACGTCCAAGAGGAAGCCCCTACGAGAGATGAGAGGGCACGTCAGACCCTCTAGCCTGGCTGTTTACATGCTCCCGCAGCTGCTGGTGACTGCTGGGAAGACAGTAAAAATTTACCTTTCCCATCAAGAGGTGCCACTGGCTTTTTCTTCAAGGACGTCGGCATTCTATCGTGGTTACTGGGGTAGAGGGTCTCCCTGCAGTCAGTGTGAGATGCATCAACCGTCCCACTATTCAGATGATGGGGAGAATGTTCACGGTCACTCCGACCGGGTTCCTCGCTACTCAGTGTACCTGGCTGTGTACTGTCTCTGGACACAGGCTGAGGACAGAAGGCTTGTTCCTTGGAGTAACTGTCCATATCAGTGTTGCAGTCACTGCATACAACTGGGCCACTGTGCTCTGCAGGACACAGACGAATTAGAACCATCGCCACTGAAGTCTCCATCCCCACACAAACAGGCTACCTCACTCCACGCTGTGAGGCCAGAGCCCCACTTCTAGCAACCCTGTAAAACTCCTTTCTCCCCCAAGTCCATTCACATAAAAAGGACTGGGCAAACACCAAGCCATTAATGAAGAACAGGGTCTTCCGTGTTTAAAGATTTCAGGTTAATTTCTTCATCAGACAACGCAGTCATACTACTTTGATCACACACAAAAATCCCATTTGCATGAAATACCATGAAGTGTCAGAAGTCTTCTGAACAATTAGAAACGCAGCCTCCAAAGAGCCCGGGTGGAAAGGCACTTTTGTCTGGGGCCTTGCCCTTTAATTAAGTTGCTTATAAATCTGGACAGTTCATGCTCAGGCTCACCACACGATTTAAGAGACATCCTACTCTGGAACTAAAAGAGAGCCAGGCCACACACAGCTTCCTGTTTAGATACTGAATACCAAATTCTGAGATAGTTTTAGATGAATAATGTGTCTCCCCCTTTCATTAATTAATGAGGTCCACCCCAATTTTGATTTCAAGAACAAAATTCCTGATAAAAGCATCTCATACCCATCTTCTGTTGACCAGGCATCCCATCGGCTTTCTCCATCACTTTCCATGGCTCCTTATATCCAACACAGAGCTTGGGCTGCCTGCATGTAATGCCAAGAGCGTCTGCCTCTGGAAAGAGGCTTGCATCTCTCGGACAAACACCTGCAATAGATCCCCACACTTAAAAATGCTGGGTTTAGCATTTCATAGTAAACCTTAGGAGAATAGGCAAAACTACTAGAACAGAGTCATTTTAAAAATGTTCTTTAGAGTGCTGGATCATAGGCCCAGCAAGGAACATTTTCTCCTACTGTCTTCCCAGCAGGCAGGCCTTGCAGCATTCAGCGCCATATTAATAAGTTCTTACGAGGATAAACTTGCTCTAAGCAAGTGCTCAGTCTCTTCCATTGAAGTAGCTCACTCTTGTGAGAGCCTTCTAGTATGAGAGCAACTGAGACTCTAAGAAGAGACACTAAGCCCAATATAGTGACTTCCTGGGGGATGTTTTCTTAAAACCTTGCTGAACGTGCACTGGCTAGGTCCAAAAAAACCCAACGGCAAGCTTTGAATTGCCCCGCCTTCTAGTTCGAATGTGCTCAAAGTAATGCCATACGCCTGCCCTGGAGAGGGGCTGGAGGCCACCTCCAGCTCATGGGAACACAGTCGCATCAGACTTTGAGGCCTTACCATTGCTCTCAATGTGTCCATTGGCCTGATGGCCACCCTCAGTTCTGACCACACTTTCCTGTCGATCAGAAAGGGTCCCCTGAGAAGACAGGTAGCTTGGAACATCTGGTGGAACGATGGTTTCATCTGCAAAGAGACAGGACAGTCAAACAACAGATGTCCCAATCTTTTGTGGTGATGAGAAATGCAGACACATGTTCAGTTTCAGGCCCAGACACAGTATCCCCCCGACGGCAGCCTTCAAGGCCGTACACTATGGAGTCTTGCACTCGAGGCCCTGCCAGGGCCGCCTGGGCCTTACTTCACACCCAGGTGTACGAAGTGTGGCAATCAGATGTCTGAGTCCACAAAAGACAGAAAACAGTGATGGGAAAGGAGACAGAACTAACAGAAGCACTACACTCTGAGGTCACTGCAGCAACAACCCACCATGTGGCAACAAAGCCCGTGCCAAGGATGCCTGTGAATTACCAAAGAGATAGAAAATTGCAGAGTTCATAATGGACTAATAATATTTGAGAGTATTCCTATTTCATGTTAAATTCCTGGAAGTTAAAATAGTGTCAATGACACCAACGCCTCAGCTGTCCAGAATGGCTCCATATTCCCAAAGGTTATAGAGTTTTAAATATACTGAAGTTCTTGAAAAAGACTCTGGACCCAGCCTCCTTCACAAACGTCACTGATTTTTTTCTCTCCTGAAAATAAACTCAGCCAGCAGTGGCTAACCTGTGTTGGTGACACTATATTCCTCACTCTTCTTCCTGGTTTGGTAGATAATGCACACCCAGACCAACGACGTCAGGACAATACTGCACACCACAGCGATGGTGAAGATGCCCACGGTGGTTCCATCCTTCCTGCAGCCAGGAGTGGGCAAGATGCTCAGTTGACTGTGAGCTCGCTCTGTGCCTAGGGCATTGGACATCTCACAGGTGTATTGGCCTGCGTCCTCTGCCACCACATTCTGAACAACCAGCAGCTGGTTGCCAGGGGTGAAGTGGTGCCGCTCAGTGAGGCTCAGAGGGTGGTCCCCCTTGAGCCAGGTGATTCGGGGTGGAGGGCTCCCAGTTGCTTTACACTGCAGAGCCACCGTTTCTCCCACAGACACGACACGGTCTTCCAAGGGCACTGCCAAGGACGGGGTTTCTGCAAGTCAGAGGAAATATTATGGTTGTTACATGAGCCTCAACTGCTATAACTCTGCCTTGTTTTCTGGACAAAGGAAAATTAAACACATCAATGAAATGGCATATAACGTCTTTTATCAGAGTGGCAGGATTTTCAGAAGCCCTTCTAACACAATGAGTAAATCATTACCATGCTGGGAGGCACTTCTGCAAGGAGAATGAATTAACCTCTAGCCACAGAAACCTCCACTGTCCACAACTGTCCAGAGATGGGCCTATGTCTCTATTCTTCAAGACATGTCCATCCTGCCCAATTCAGAGGGCATTTCTTATCTAGAGTATTTTATACCTAAACCATTTTTTTAGAAAAGAGATAGAACTACTTGTTCAAGAAAATTTTAGAAAGCTGCCTAATGTAGAAACAGCCCACCACATTCATCCCCCTCAAGCTCCACAGAAGAGTCTGAGAACCCTGCCTCTAGGTACCTATTTTATTTTAAAAATCTCTCTCTCTCTCTCTCTCTCTCTCACACGTGTACACACACACAGGCGCGCGCACACACATATACTCAATGTAGAAATAACCGAACCTAAGACAGTCAGGGTGGCGTTAGCTGAAATGGAGCCGGCCGAGTTCTGGGCGGTACAGCTAT